AGAATGTGAACGTTTTAAAACAATAACTGAGAAAATGACATGAAGGCTGTGTTGACCAGTTTGATGGAAGTATTTTGGATTGCATGTGAAAACCCCACACTGTACCCCAGAAGTGCATTAATGTACATAGTTACCATTCAATAAAATAAATAAATGAATAAATAATAAAATAAACCTATTTTCTCAGCACTGTTCTCAAGCAGCAGTTTGGTGCAGTGGTGCGGGTTTTTATAGAGCTAAAGCTCAGGAGTTAAGTGGGTCTTGAATAGTGTTTGACACATGGAAGACACTCTGAAGATCTCTTTCCCCAGCATTTGGTTAAGTATGGACTTATTTAGTATTTATAGGTGGACTGCCTTCTAGTCCACTGAAGCTCACAACCGCACCAAACTGCTACTGGAGACCAATGCTGAGAAAACAGGTTTATAATGAGACTCAAAATACCAAACATCATACATTCAATGATGCTAAAGGTAAAGCTGTTTTATAGGAGTGCAAAAATGGTATCAGAATATGAAGTTAGAAAAATGTGAAAAAGTAGTACATAATGTGAAATATAAAAAATACATACATACACCCTGAAGGGATTTATAAGAAATTACAACCAGAAGAATAATATTTAATATATTGGCTCCTGACCTTCACACCTTGACAGTAGATTAAGGCAAGAGCTACATGACAGACCACAGATGGTTTCAATAAATCAATACTCTCTACACCAATAAGTGATCTCATACTTAAGTATAACTCCTAATTTAAGGAATTACAGGCTAAACTTCTAAAAAATAAGAACAGTTTTATTAAATCTCATGGAAAAGATGAACAAGCTAAAAATCTGGATTATGACCTTTACTGAATATTAAGAAATGTCCATAAAAACCAAAGCTGCCTTTTGTGAATAAAATAGTGATAGCTAAGCCAGGCAGGGTGGCTCATGCCTGTAATCCCAAAACTCTGGGAGGCCAAGGTGGGTGGATTGCTTGAGCTCAGGAATTCAAGACCAGCCTGAGCAATGGCAAGATCTCGTCTCTACTAAAAACAGAAAAACTAGCAGGTGCCTGTAGTCCCAGCTACTTGGTGTACTGAGGCAACAGGGTCCAAACGAGCCCTATAGTTTGAGGTTGAGCTATGACACCATGGCACTCTACTCAGGATGACAGAATGCGACTCTCTCTCAAAACAAAACAAACAAACAAACAAACAAAACATATCTAAGAAACAGATATATGGAAGCAATTTCCAATTTTCCCCCCTCTAATTAGATTATATGCAGTTTCCATTGCTACCCTATACTCTCATAGCATGAGATATCATATAATAAATATATATACTTGAATAATTTTTTTTTTTTTAAGAGACAGAGTCTCACTTTGTTGCCCTCAGTAGAGTGCTGTGGCATCACAACTCACAGCAACCTCCGGCTGTTGGATTTAGGCGATTCTCTTGTCTCAGCCTCCTGAGTAGCTGAAACTACAAGGGCCTGCCACAACATGGGGCTATTTTTTTGTTGTAGTTTGGAAAGGGCCGGGTTTGAACCTGCTATGGGGCTGGCACCGCACTCACTGAGCCACAGACGCCGCCAATACATGAATAATTTTAATAGTTATACCTTTGTGACAGAAATAGAATGCTTTTTTTTATTATTAAATCATAGCTGTATACGACAATGCATTTATGGGATACAATGTGCTGGGTTTACATACAATTTGACAGAAACAGAAATTTTAACACCTTGAAGAATATTACAACATGTTATATTAAGTATATTAAAATCGACAAATCTTTGGCGAATACTCACTTTGACCATTGTCTCAGGAGACACTTCTTCATCTGGAACCCAAAGTTTAGTTGTCTTTTTACCTGGAAGCTAAACAAAAATGAGGAACTTTAAAAGATGAATATGAATTCCCACGTTCAATTAATGCTTAGTGAATGAACTCTTTATCTTCTGCAGTGACAGTTACTATGACTACAATACTTCCTATCTAATCTTATTTACCAAAAAAAACAGTTGAAAAGTGTATCTTCACTAGCACCCAGATCCCCATTACTAGTTGGTACTTTCTAAGTGTATGGTAGGATGTGCTACACGTACTCCCTTACTTAGCCCCTTTTGAGACTAATGATTAAACTATTTAATTTAGGTGGCAAAAACTAGGGATTATGGAAAAACAAAACAAAAGAAAGATGAAGGCCATTAGAGGCTCATGCCCGTAATCTTGACATTTCAGAAGGCAAAGTGGAAGGATTGCTTGAGGTCAGAGTTCAAGACCAACCAGAACAGCGTACAAAGATCCTTTCTCTAAAAAAATTAATTAATGGGCTGTAGTAGCATGCGACTGTAGTCCCAGCTACTCTGCAGGCTAAGGCAGCAAGATCACTTGAGCTCAGAAGTTACAGTGAGTTATGACTGAGCCACTGCACTCCAGCCTAGGTGACAGAGTAAGACCCTATCTCAAAAAAACAAACAAACAAACAAAAAAAGGCTCAACAGCTATGGCACCAGCTACATACACAGAAGCTGGTGGGTTTCAACCCAGCCCGGGCCTGCCAAACAACAATGACAATTACAACAACAAAAATAGCCGGGCATTGTGGTGGGCGCCTGTAGTCCCATCTACTTGGGAGGCTGAGTCAAGAGAATCGCTTAAGCCCCAAAGTTTGAGGTTGCTGTGAGCTGTGATGCCAGACCACTCTACTCAGGGTGACATAGTGAGACTCTGTATCAAAAAAAAAAAAGAAAACCCACTACTACAACGCCAAATCAATGGAGACAAAAGGAAGGTATAGATCCTAAACAACAGAAAATATTTTTTAAAAAATTCTGAGCAGGAAAAAAATTAGAAAGGTTTCCAGTTCAAGAAAGATAAAAGAAAACATTCATTAATCATCTTCTTACCCAAATCCTACTGAAATGGCAAAACACACACACACACACCAGTCAGCAAGGCAAGAAAACAAAAGGGGCCACAAGAATGCCAGAATCATAGGGAAATTTTTGAAACCAAAAAGTATACAGTAAAAAAATTAACAGGGCTGGAGAGTTTATATCTTCATCACAGCAGAGAAGAAAATATCCTTCAAAAATGTTACCTGACTTTTCTTCTCTTATGACAGGAACATAATAGGTACTGGGAGATGTGAATTTAGTGGAGTAGCCAGGAAATCAAAGGAAGGTGGCAAAATAACTGAATTCAGTCTTGGAGCATTTGAGATGCCATTTTTATCCCCAGATCATTTCAGAAACCAAATGGCAACATGATAAGTAGCCCTAACATCCAGAAAGGCAAACTCCCCCAGAACACATACAGCTGAAGATTTACAACCAGTTTAAAACTCAGTGAGTCACTTGAAAGTGCCTTTTCAAGTAAAAATAATGAAAAAGTAGTCACATTAAACACATCTTAATGAAATCAAGAAGATCTCAAAAGCTTCTATGGGGAAGCTACCAAAAAGGAGCAAAAATCACATCAACTGCAGATTTCCTACTGCAAGACTAGATGCCAAGAAACAATGTTCTGAATTTACTGCACACTCAAAACACAGAATTCTAGTATTTAAGTAATTCTAGTATTCAAAAATGAAAACTAGAATTTAAGACAGAAAGTTTACAAACTATCATCCATTTAAAAGAACTATCTAACAATATATTACACTAAAATATTTAATTCAAAAGAAAAATTCACCAGGCTACTAGGCAACATAGTGAGACTCTGTCTCAAAAAAAGAAAAGAAAAGAAAAAGAAAGAAAAAGTCAATCAGCATAAATTATTACAAACAGAAAACAAATTTTTTTTCACACATAAGAAACTATCAGACACGATAGACCAATGATAAACCATCCTGTTTAAAAATTATAAAACTATAAGAGATTACAACAAATACCAATTACCTGGAAAATGCAACAATTATAGGATAGAAAAATACAGCAGTCAAGATGAAAAGCGTTCAATAGGATGCAGATTTAAGTGGGATGCCAATGCAAACGGGGCACTAATGTACATATTTTTTACCTTACACAACCAATAAAGTATAAATATTCATAAACATTTATACTATAAGCAGAGTAACATCAAAATAAACCAAAACAAAGGTGATTTTTAAAATAACATTGAAAACTTCATCACAGTAAGAGATTTAAATATACATCTTTCATAAACTGATAAAGCTGAGATAAAAGGGGTAAATATCTAAAACCTATGTAGAAATAAAAGAAAATATACATAAATAAAATACACAAGGATTAGAAAATAAAACTGGCAGTCTTTTAAAATATGATGAAAAATAAACCGAAAAGAGAATTTAGCAAGAAAGATGAATATAAAATCAAAACTACAAAGGAACTGCCCATATAAACCACAAACATAAAATATAATTTTAAAAACTTTATTTAGTACCTACATCATGTAAGAGAAATCTTAAAAATTTTCCTTTCAGAGAAAACTATGACATTTTAAGAAAAAACATCTTGCGGATGGGCGAATAAAGCAATGGAAAACAATGTAAACTATATATGGTACATGAGGGTCAGTAGTGCAGAGGACTAGAAGAAGGTAAGATTACTGAGTAAGTTGTGCTGGGGAAATCGAGTAACCCTAATGAGGAGTAAAAAGAAATGGAATCCTTACATTACAGTGTAAAAAGCAGCAAATAATTCCAGTTGGATTAAATTTTTTTTCCTGTGTGGAAAATAAAACCTTCAAATTTTTAGAATGACATATGAGAGACTATTTTTATGACATTAGAGTAAGGAAGGATTTCTTAAACAACATGTAAAAAGTCTTAACTGTAAAAGACAATGATGATTAATATAGCTACATTAAAAGTAATAACATATAAAGGAATAAATAAAACACAAATGGGGTTTTATGCATTCTATGAAGATACTGCAACATGCACCTGATAGAAGATTAAAGTATGTAAAGATTACTTTTGGGGAAAAGACAACACAGGAAAAGAAGAGCAAAAGACAATGAAAGGAATTTCAGAAAGGAGGCAACTTGAATAGTGATTAGAAATACGAACTTCATTAGTAACCAGGGAAAAGGAAATCAAGACTATAACAAGACACTATTTTATATCAAATGGGCAAAAATTAAGAAATCTAATAATAATGTTACACATGCTGGCAGGAAAATAATAGTTTCATACATTCTGAAAAATAGTTCAAAAATAAAAAAAGTTAAAGAGGTACATGCTATGACTCATCAATTTTCACTTGTAGACATGAAGCTTGGAGAAACTTTGTGCTTGTATGTAGCAAGAGGCTCCTATAACAACGTTTATAGCAGCACTGTTTAAGAGGGAAACAAATGGAAGAATTCCAAAGAAAGAGAATAAATGGATTATTTCCCATGAAGAAATAATATAAAGTAATAAATGAATGAATAATGGCAAGTTTAATAATAAAGATTATTCTTAGAAACAAATGTGTGTATTTTTATCAGCTTTGCCAAAAATTAGATGGGAATATGGGGATGGTTTCATCTCTGGATTCTCTGTTCTGATCCATAGATCCATGTCTCTGTTTTTGTTACACTACCACATTGTTCATCGTAGGACAGAAGTCTAGTAAAGTATTGCCTCCTGCTTTGCTCTTACAATGTAAAGTTGCATTGGCTATTTGGGATCTTTTCTGGTTTTATACAAAACAGAATTATTTTTTATATATCTGCAAAAAAATGGTATTGGTATTTTAGTGGGAATTTCATTGAATGTGTAAATCACTATGGGTAGTATAGCCATTTTAACAATATTGACTCTGCCAATCCATGAGCATATGTATTTTTCCATCTTTTTGCATCCTCTCCAATTCCTTTCCTCCATGTTTCATAGTTATCCCTATAGAGGTTTTTGATCACCTTTGTTAAGTATGTGTTTTATTTTCTTTGTTGCTAGTGTAAAAGGTATTATGCCTTTGATTTGATTCTCAGCTTGACTACTGTTGGCCTGTATGAAAGCTACCGACTTGTGTACACTGATTTTACAGCCTGAGACTTTGCTGAACTGATCAATTCCAGGAGTCTCCTGGTTGAATCTTTGAGGTTCCCTAAACATAAGATCATATTGTCAGCCAAAAGCAATAGTGTGACCTCTTCTGTTCCCATCTGATACCCTTGATTTCCTTTTCTTCCCTGACTGCTCTGCCCTGGCTAGGACTTCTAACACTGCGTTGAACAGAAGTGGTGAAAACAGGCTACCTTGTCTGGTTCCAGTCCTACGTGGGAATACTTTTCAAGAAATGGTGCTGGAAAAATTGGATGGCTATACAGACTGAAAAAGGACCCGCACCTCTCATCACTCACAAAAAATTAGCTCACGATGGATAAGACTTAAACCTAACACATAAAACTGTAAGAATTTTAGAAGAAAATGTTAGGAAAACTCTTATAGATATGGACTTAGTGAAAAGAATTTATGAAGAGGATCCTAGAAGCAATCATGGCACAGCAACAAAAACAAACAAATAGGATCTGATTAAATTAAAAAGTTTCTGAAGAGTCAAGGACACAATAATCAAAGGGTAAATAGACATCCTACAGAGTGGGAGAAAATATTTGCATACCATACATCTGATAAACGGCTAATAACCAGAATCTATTAAGAATTCAAGCAAATTAACAATGAAAAATTCAACAACCCCATTAAAAAGTGGGCAAAAGTTATGAACAGAAACTTTTTAAATGAAGATAGGCTAATGGCCAACAAACACATGAAAAAATGCTCAAAATCTCTAATCTTCAGGGAAATGCAAATCAAAACCACAATGAGGTACCATCTAATCCAGTGAGAATGGCTCTTATCAAAAAGTACCAAACCAAGTGCTGGCATGGATGCAGACAGAAAAGACCACATACACTGTTAGTGAGACTGCAAGCTAGTACATATAACCTCTATGGAGAGTAGGATGGAGACTCAAAGATCTAAAAATAAACCTACCAAATGATCCAGTCATCCCACTACTAGGTATTTAATAGGTATTTATCAATTCCAGGAGTTTCCTGGTTGAATCTTTGAGGTTCCCTAAACATAAGATCATATTGTCAGCCAAGAGCAATAGTGTGACCTCTAAAAAAAGGTACTTCATAAAAAAGACACTTGTGCTCTAATGTTTATGGCAGCACAATTCACAATTGCAAAGACATGGAAATAATTCAAGTGTTCATCATTACATGAGTGAACTAATCTAATGTAGTATATGGAGTAGTATTCAGCCATTAAAAAAGATGGAGATCTAGTGTCTTTTGTAACAACCTGGATGTAACTGGAGATTGGTTTTCTAAGTCAAGTATGGCAAGAACGGAAAAACAAATACCCCATGTACTCAGTACTAAACTGCAACTAGTCAAGCAACACTTATGTGTACGTGTGGAAGTATAACTCAACAGGAATCAAATATACGTGTGTGTGGGGGGGGGAGGTTGGGTTAATTCATACCTAACAGGTACAATGCACACGTTCTGGGTGAAGGGTACATTTGTAAAACTATATTGGCAAAATGTTCTTTTGCTATTGTTGTCAGGGAATAACAAATCCAAAAATTCAAGAAAGTGGGTACCAAGGGCAGAAAGGAAATGGAAAGAAAGGACTGAAGAGTAAAAAACCTGAAACTAAAAATTCAAGGATGTTCACTGTATTATAAAATATAATTTATACAGATCCATACCATATTTCACATATTACATATCAAATATAACATAAAACAAGACAAATAAATGGATTGAGAGTGAAGAGTTCTGTTTTTGACAAGACTTGACGAGGATATCTTAAATCAAATTTCCCACTGGAATGAATAGAAAGGCTGAATAAAATGCTTTTTGAAAAAATCACTTGGAAAGGAACAGAGAGCTACCAAAGCAAAGAGAATTTGCAGAGCTAAGTTTCAAAAGAGAAGGGGAATCAAAAAGATTTGAGCCTGGCACTGAAATACATTTTCTCACACAGATAACTGCTGATTCTGAAAGTGAAAGAAGGGAATAAAAAATTGAGCCTAACTTTCATCACTGTCACAGAGCCAGAAGGACAAGATTTGGAATTCTGGACCAAATGTGGAACAGAGACCTTGTTAAATACCCTAGACTTTCCAATGGATCCTAAACAAATATATCCTAGATATACAGAAACCAGAAAAAATAAATAAATAAACCTGCCAAAAACTGAAGTCTAGCATTCAGCTGGATGGAGGTGGTCTGACTATAATTTAACTGCCTGCCAGAAGCAAAAGTAAATCCTCTCTCAAGAATATAAACTTATCCAGAACCTCAAATTATCTTAACAATTTTCATACAAAAAGTCCACCACTTAACCAAAAACCATACGTGCAAGACAAGACTTGACCAAAAATTGAGGGAAAAAAATAGACAAGAGTCATAAGAGAGATAATCAGCCTAACAGATACGAACTTTAACATAATTAAGATGTTCAAGGATTAAATGATAAGCAAATTCTGGAAGGAACTAAAAGCTATGTTTAAAAATAAGAAAATTATACCATTAAAATACACACATACACAGTGTAATTAAGACTGAAGGCATGAGCTAAACTACTGTAAGACAAGGCAAAAGTAAAGAGAGTGCATGTAAAGATAGGTCAGAAAAAAACAAAAACTGAAGCATGAAGAGGCTAGCTAACAGAAAAGCACACCAAAAATACGCCAGATAGCTGGGTCACAGCCAAAAATAAAAATTAAAAAATTTTAAAATGTATAAATAGTCAAATAGTCTATGGCCAAATACCCAATCTCATCTAATTTTGAAAGCTAAGCACAGTCAGGCCTGGTTAGATCTGGATGAAAACTAATATGAAAAAGAAAAAGTAGCAGCTGAAAAGATAATGCCTGAATGTTATTCAAAATTCACGAAAGACATTTAAGCCATAGATTCGAGAGGAGCTACAAGCCCCAAGTAGGACCTATGTGAAAAGAAAAGCAGACACACATCATAGTAAAATTTGAAACCAATAGGAAATATTAAAAGCATTCACCATTTAAAAACCAGGAAATCTTCAGAGGATCAAGACTATCAGCAGACTTCAAGAGAAAAGGTAAGACGATGAAACAATATATTCAGCTCATTAGTGGGGGGAAAATGTACCAGTCTAGAATTCTAAATCTATAGAAAATATCCACCAAAAAAAAGGTATAATAAAAACTGTGAGAATTAATTAGCAGAAATCACACTAACAGAAATACTAAAGTAGTTACTTTGTTAGAAAGAAAGTCATTCCATATAAAGGAATGAAAAATGAAAGAAAAGGTTGGCAAATCTAAATCAATACTAGCTGAATAAAATAACAATGATAATAGTCCTACATGATGAAGAACATAAAAAACAGAGAATAATGGAAATTAAAGAATTTTAAGGTTCTCTATGCTTTACTGAAAGTATAAGACAGACTAATTGACATTAGCTTTGAATAATCAAAAGTACATGTTGTGATTTCTAGGGCATCTACTAAAACTGCAAAACGTAAAACCAGCCAATAAGGGGGAAAATGGAACAAAATGTTTAATCAAAAGTAAGAAATAAATGAACACATAACCGATAGAACAAACTGAAATTAAAAATTAGAGGGCAGATTAACCCAAATATCACTATTCACAATGCATTTAAATTTTAGAGGAGAAACTTTATCTCCTATTTCTTTTACTTCTCAGAGAACAGAGTACAGTGCTGGGGGCACAAGTGACAAAAAATGTCATGGTTATATATGGATCTGTTTGTGTGTATTAACATATATGTATCTATTTACATATACATACACATACACAAAAGCCATATAACTATAAGGAGGTCAATTCTCCCAGATCCAAGAACATGCCTTACTCCAAATATACAAAAACTGGAGATAAACAAAATCACTGTTTCTCTTACAGGGCTTTCTCTCAAGACTCTTTTCATTCCTTATTCTATGTACAGAAAGGAATGGATATGAATATTAATATATATATAGTTATGTGTCATGATAACCACATTGTGAACCAGTATGTCAATCTACATTATTTTTTAAATAGATGTCCCTATAAAAATTAAATTCCTGTATAGCTGAGATAGAATAAGGTGATATTTTATATTTATCAAGGAATATATTTGAGGTCATATATCTATACCTAACTAAAGAGATGTCTTAATGCTGTTTTACTTATAATAAAGATACAAATATTTTTTAAAAGTGGGAAATCTAAAATGAAAGCAGCCAAACATAAATGCTATTAGCATCATTTCATTTCTCTCTGTGTTGGATAAAATTTTAGAAGGAAGTATTATGAAAACATAAATCTAAAAAATATAAATTACCCGATCATTCATGAGAAGATCTTTCACAATGAAAGTAGCTACCAAAGATTTCAATGGAGCAGCAAACTGATCAGGTGCAAGGAGAGCGATATGGCCAATGGTAACCAATGGTGTTATGAGATGTTCCAGATTGCTTGGATCTAGACTCTTATGCAGAGGCTGAAAACGGAGGGGGAGGAAAATATATTCAATGCTATACATATACAAATAAACTATTAAAATATTTCATCTTGAAATTACAAAAATTACAAAAGTTTCAAGAAATACACACAGTGTGAGCAGTAACTCAAGCTTACATTTAGACTTCTTTGTCTAGATGGCAATAGGTTCAATCATTTTCATTTTTGCCCAACTCATATCTTAGAAATAGGTAAAGAAACACTGATTCAGTATGAAGAATCATATTAGGAAACATACAGTTTATGACCATAGCTATGAATATGTCAGAGACTGCTAGAGCTCACCAATACTCAACTTCTCTTCTATTTAGGCATAAGGATGACTCCACTTGCAGTCTTGTTTGCGGTTAAGTGAGAGTATGTGAATGAGGTTTGGTCAAGGCAGTAGGAACAAAAGTGAATTAACGCCACACCTGCACTGAAGCAGGTATAAGCAGTGTATCTTCCTCAAAGGCTCTCTCTTTATTATTTACTGGATGGCTTAATGCCAGGAATCCATTGGGACTTAAAGAGAAGTCAGTAAACAGAGAGAATATGATTAGGAGACTATTCAAACACTAAAGCAGAATTTTTAAGAGCAAAATAAGCTTTTACTGTGTCTAGTCATTTAAATTTTGGGGGTCTTTAATATAGCATCAAATATTAAATATCATAGTAAATACAATTTGTTATTCTGATAGAAAACTCAAGCATTAATACATATTTTGTCATGACAAAGCTCTTCATATACTCATAGAATGATATCCAAATGTATTGTTTAACTTTTAAAAATCAGAAGGGTGACTGGGAAGGCACCTGTGGCTCAAAGGAGTAGGGCGCTGGCCTCATATGATGGAGATGACAGGTTCAAACCCAGCCCCGGCCAAAAACAGAAAAAAAAAAAAAAAAAAAAAATCAGAAGGGTGACTAAAATATGCTATCACTGGCATAGAGGGAGAAAAGAAGAATAAAATGTATGTGTTTATTTGTATGTCCTTACTTGTACAGGCAGTCACTGAGTTATGAATGAGATAGGTTCTGTAGGTTTGTTCTTCAGTTTGTGTGTAAATTGAAATAAGTATGTTATTTCAGACTATTACCTGACTATTACCAGACTATTACCTGTAATAGTCTCCATTTGTAAGTGCAAGTCCTACATCAGTCCAATATTTGTAAGGTGGAGACTTATTTTAACAGCCTCCATTTGTAAGTGTAACACATAAGTAAGTAGGATATTTGTAACTCAAGAGACTGCCTTCTACGAATAAAATCTCTCTGGAAAAGTCCATTTAGAAACTTTTAAAAATGGTTGCCTCTGGGAAAGGATTCAGGGTCACTGCATATTCTGTTTGTATCATTTGATTTTAAAGCAAGTGAATATATTTTCTATTTGAAATTCTAATGCTACATTTTAATGAAAAATTAGTGCTCTATTCTTCCACATCCAACCAAGAATTCAAGGCTGGAAAGTCGTTGTTTCCCAATATATAAGGATAATATGAGTTTCATTTATTCAAGAATATATTTAAATAAGTTTGCTTTTTCCTTGGATGACTTCCCTCAATATTTCCATTATATACCTACGTGCCAATTAGTTATTCATATTATAAATGGAAGGTAAGTTTAAAAAGTTTATTCAATTATTAAAAGTTTAATATTTTCCATGGTATATTAATAAAATCATTTCTGAAAAAGCAAAATTGATGGTCAGATCTAGAATAGTAGCAACCTCAAAAACGCCAGATATCTCTATGAAATCTTTTCTCAGAAAGCCATAAAATCTTATGTTTGGGTAGGTTAGTTTCTTGTAAAGATAGCAGATATAAAATCAAAATGAAAATAAAACTACCCTAGAAATGCAAGTTATATAACGATTATCTACGTTATCATCAGTGAAAGGAACTTTCGAAAAGATTATCCACAAAAAACAAAAGTTCCTGATAAATCAACATCAACTTATTAAAGTTCCACATAAAAAAAACTACAGAAAATACACATATTTCCCAAAACACAAAAAATGAATTATTTGCTATCTAATCCAAGGTGATATTTGGACAATAAAGAAAATTACTTTTTTCCTCACCTTCAGGTCTTTAACATTAATACATGAAAATATGACAAAATTAGCATAAAAGCTTTCTAAAACCAGAGATAACAAGTCAAAGTATTTGTGGTAAGGAGCTACAGCATAACTTCCAAACTGTTCTGACTTCACTCAAAGCTTAGGATTTTAAAGACTTTGAAGTAAGAAAGTCATTGTCTCTTAATTGTAACAATAAAATTGCAATGCTTGGGGATAAAGACTAGTTAAAATGTAGAGAAAATAATATGAAATATATATTGAAAAGACATTTTATATCTGACACAAAAATTAGGTCAGTCATAAAAGTATAAACTTATTTTCTTTATATTACCAATTAGTACTGCTTTATAAAACCCCATACTTTGGTAGTATCGCAAACAGAATTCAAATTTTTTGAAACTTTTGAATTGACAGAATAATCACCTGTTACCTACTATTTATAACTATAATTTTATATGTAGTTACATACTAACAAAATTGTCTCTAAATGTGTATATCAAGCAATGTCAAAATTATATAATGTTTGATTTCTGAATTTGAGTTGGCATTAGAAATGTGAATACACAGGTATTTTCATATTTTAACAACTTATCAATGTTGAGTTACTAATTCACACTCTGAAAATTACTACAAAATGACATATTACCAAATATGAAATATGAACATTCCATAAAATCATCACTATGTGGTGCTTTTAACAAACACAGAACATAAAAATAAATAAATAAATAAATAAAATTTTTTCTCATTACCTCAAATATTTGTGCAAACTGGGTCTCTTTACTAGAAAATATCGCATGGATACAATGAATGGCATATTTGGCTTGACGAGGGGGTCCTTTTTTAGATTTGTGATGTAAAACAGGAAGCAAGGCTCTAAAAAAAAAAAAAAAAAAACAAAGAAAAACCATAAACCAAAAAAACCAACATGACTTCTGCTAGATAATTTAACGTTTGTATTTATTAAGTCATTTTGTGAGAACAAAGAAAGTCACCAAGGTCTACTCAGACTCATTTTCAATGGCCTTTAATTTTTCTTTGTAAAATATTTATATATGCATATATATAAATATAAGCCATGTATAAGTATTTTGCTTTTTACTTTCAAAAACTACAAACACAAAGCTAATGACCCACTCCCCCTATCTAATATCATTCCCATTAGGCCTTCTCTTCTATTTTCAGCACTAACATTCCAGCTAAACTTTTGCCATTTTATACATGCAATAGAATTTAAACTATCCTTTCTTTCAAATCTCTGCCTCTTAATTCACCTTTGCCTTTGTGCCAGAACAACCTACATAAAAGAAAATCTGATTAACCAATGTTTGTTAAGCATTATGTACCAGGCATTATTAAAGGCTCCAAATCCTTGGCTTCATGCTACTAGCATTTTAGGGACAAGACAAATAACACATAAATTAGTAAATTACATGTTATGTCAAACAGTAATGAAGAGAGAAAAAAAGACAAGAAGATAAGGGATAGGGAATGAAGAGGGAGGTATCAGAGTGTTAGGATTTTTAAACAGAAAGCCTCTCTGGTCAACAGTTGAGGAGCATTCTATAAGAGGTAAGAAGACATGCACCAAATCATTTTGCCACTCCCAGACTTAAAAGTAATACTGAATAAAGCAGAAGCTCTCAAAGCAAATGCAACTTGTGAATCTTCCTCATTGTCCAATACTAATCCATTGCTACAGTACTAAGAATTCAGAGATACAATAGTTAATAACACTAAGAGTAGTCTCACAAAACACCAACAGCAAAGTATAATGAAAAGATAACTTGTTATTTCTAACATGTAAAAATACAGAATGAAAAGACCAACAATACCAAAGAAAAACCAAGTGGATATAAAAAAGGAGAAAGTTCTTCAAAAGAATAAATATACATAAATTACCCTGAAATGTAGTATGAAATATATGTTTACCCTCATTCATTCAAAAGAAAATTCAAACTATAACAAGAAGACTTGTGCTTCAGATTATGATGGTATAACTAAGGCTGTTTACTCTCCTGCCTTAAACACCCAGAAAAATAACTATTAAAGGTTTTGTCACTAGACTAGGGATTTTCAGCACACTGCTATGCCGTGAGAGGAGCTTAAGTGTGCCTTGAAAAAACATTTTTTTTTGAGACAGTCTCACTATGTTGCCCTCAGTAGAGGGCTAGCTCACAGCAACCTCAAACTCCTGGGTTTAAGTGATTCTCTTGCCTCGGCCTCTCAAGTAGCTAGGACTACAGGTGCCTGCCACAACACCCGGCTATTTTTTTGTTGTAATTGTCATTGTTGTTTGGCAGGCTGGGGCCAAGTTTAAACCCACCAGCTCTGGTGTATGTGGCTGGTGCCCTAGCCGCTGAGCTACGGGTACTGAGCTGAAAAATTTTAAAAATTAATTAAATTATTTTCAAAAGAAGTTCAAAGCATAACAAGCATATTCTTTTAAAAATTTTTTGGATCAACATAATTCAAGTCTGCTATGGAAGTATAGGTTCAAGTGTGCCATGAGATAAAAAGGATAAAAAACCACTGGACTAGATGACAGGCAGCACCAAAAGAAAAACAAAGACACAAAAATAATAAAAACACTAAAGTAGGATGTTATAAAAAAAACTTACTTCAATATTAAGTCCCAGGAAGATTAAAAGAATCAAAAAAGGAAGAAGACATGCTTTACAAATGCTAATAAAAAATAAAGTAGAAATGGCTGTGCTATTCTCAAAGCAAGAAGACTGCAGAACAAGGAAGATGACCAGGCTAGTAAGAGACACATTTCATAACAACACTGCCCACTGGCAAGGTTGGGGGGAATCAGGAACTCTTAAACACTGTGAGGGAGAATACAAAATGTTATAATCACTATGGGATAGGAATGCAGTAATATCTAGCAAAATTATATATTCATATATATATAAAGCTTCATATACATATGAAGCTCTTCCACTTGTAAGAACAGCTCCCAAAGATAACTGTCAAAATGCAAAAGGTGCATACACAAGGCTACTCACTTACAGACTATTTATAATACTGAAAACAACTCAAATGCTTATAAATAAGGATCTGGGTAAATCAACTATGATAGAACCACAAAACAAATGGAGACCACTCTATATTAAAACATGAAGAAAAGTGTGTATGGTATATTTTGTCATTTATCTATCAAAGAGTGCATATAAACACACGTACACATACTAATATTTACAAATATATAGACAAGTAAAATAGGGGATATCCCTCAAAGGGTTGAGGGATAGAGGCCAGACTTCCTGGAATACATATTGCTTTCTTTTACATATTTTTACTATAAGGACTGACTATTTCATATAATTAAAAAACAAAATTAAATTACAAAAGAACTGCCTCTTAAATAATAAAATGAAACAAATGAATGACAGTACTTAGCCACTTGGCAGAAGAACTTCCCAAAAAAGAATTACTCCAAATAACTTTAAAACACAAGAGTCTGACTGTAGATCTCTAAAGTAATACACACTACAAAAGATAACTACCTAAACAACTAAACAAACAGCTGTTTTTAGGAATTATATTGGTGGTACTACTGCTACTGCAAGATTGTTATGGATTATGAGACACAGCAATTGAGTTATCATATAATATAATAAGTGTTATCCTATAATACATCTCAGCAAAGGGAAAAATGAGATAATGAGATACAAATATAAAATTGAAGAGGCTCAATAAAAACCATGTAATCCTGAATTTGGACTGGAAAAATCAGTAAAAACACATATTCATGTTCCAAAAAACAATTTTTAGCAATGTGTACTGAGTTATTCTTGAACCAGGACCTACCAATAGAACTCACAGGACTCACATTCTGATTTCTTTCTTTTTGAAACACAGTCTCACTTTGCTGCCCCTGATAGACTACCATGGCATTATAGCTCACAGCAACCTCAGACTCCATGGGCTGAAGCGATTCTCTTGGCTCAGCCTAGGCAGTAGCTGGACTATAGGCGCCCACCACAACACCTGGCTACTTTTTAGAGGCATGGTCTCACTCTAGCTCAGGCTGATTTGCTCAGGCAATCTGCCCACCTCAGCCTCCCAAAGTGCTGGGATTATAGGCGTAAGCCACCACATTTGGCCTACATTCTAATTTCTTGACATCATTCTCATTAAAAGGTGCTAGAGGTCCTTAGACAAAAAGCAATTTCAGGTTTAGGTAAGCATGTACAATATGGACCTGGAATACTTTGTCATAGCAGATAGCAAAGAAATTACTAAGATGACTGGGGTTGTCCAAAAGGACTCAGGGACCAACCTGAATAGGATTCCAAGGTTATAATAATCTGGGCATCAATGCCTGTAATTACTGCAACTAACTAAAAACATGTGTAAATCCACAAGTTTATATTGATACTCTTTTAAAAACAACACTTAAATAATCACCTTTGGAGGACACTAGTAAATCAATGCTTTATTTTGAACATAGTTTAAAATAACATAAAAGAATCAAGTGTTCATCCTGTCTTTTCTAAGCAAATACAATACTAGGGAACCTAAGAATAGACTAGTTCCTCCTTATAAAAGTAGTTAGCTCACAAGAAGGAAGCACAGGATAAGTATATCACCACCGATTATTACTATCAATAGCTGCAAATATTGTAAAATGAGAGACAGCTAGATATTTAAGCCATATGACAGGAAGACTGGTGGAGAGCACACCACTCTTACAAACAGTCCTAAATGACGAAAAGGCTGAACTGGAATCCAGTCAGGTCTCTGGCGTCAACAATCACTTCACAGAAAATAAAACAACCCAATTATGCCTAAGTGATACAACTAACAAAAATCAGTCTATAGGAAATACTTCAAGACAAACGACCTGGTTTCTTTATCAAACAAACAAGGACTGAGACTGAGAGCTGAAGGGAAAGCCTACAGGAGACAAGAAGCTTACAAGAACCTACAATCTATCACAACATAAAAACTCTTAACTAAACGCACTTAAAAAAAAAAAAATCACCATTTGGACACTGGATACTTTTTCTTCCATTCTTGAGATACTTTGCTAAGAATGTTCCAGCTCCATCCATGTAAACATGAAAGAGATACTTATGGAACACTTTATGCCCAAAGCATTCTGTAAAAACAACTTTGGGGAAATGAAGAATAGGACCCCGTTACTTTACACAAAGCACACCAGCACTTCAACAGGAGATAGGACTTGCCCAGCTCCGCCCCACATAGGAATATTTTTCTTTCAAAAACTTGTAAACAATGTTGAGGGGAAGGAGCAAGATGGTGGCCAAGTAACAACTTCCTTGCAACTGGACACAGTGAAACTGGGGAGAGAAGACTCCAGGCATCTCTGGCTGGTGGGATCGGCCCAGAAACATCCCTTTGAGGACACAGGGAGTCAGTGAGAGACCTCTGGACCCCAGGAAGAGGACAAAAGCAGTGGAGAACTGGCAAGTGTTTGCAGTGTTTGTTCCGTCTAATTCCGCCAGCAGCTGTAAATACAGCAACAGTGAGATCGCAAACTGGAAAGGCCTTCCTCTGAGCTGTTTTATTTATTTTGGACTTTGCACTCAGTTGAACTAGCTTGGGAGAACTTGGTCAAGAGTGTGGAGGACTTTAAGTGTTGTCTAGGGCCCCAGACTGAGCCACTGAGCCAGATGGAGCTAATAGTTTTCAGCTGTGGCTGCCCTGGAAAGCTCTGTCCTCAGGGTTGCAGAGCAAGGATCTGGCAGGAGATCTTGGGCGAATAATCTAGTGACTAAGCAGCCTAAAAATGGGGACTAAGATGCCTTACAGCCTTGGCCCTCAGGGAGCATAGAGTAAGACTGGTTTGGGCACACTGGTACTCATTAAAACCCTAGTCCAGAGGCATGGTAACTTAAAGAGCA